TTTTATTGTTTTGCATAAAAATTTTGAGTTTAATATTGGGTAAAAAAGTGTTCGGAAACTTTTGGCGGGGGTCTGTATATATAATTTATGGTGGCCGGAGGCGTAATCTATTATTTTTCAAGTAATTATGGAAATTTATAATCCGAATAGTTTCGGTAAGAATAGTTCAGAAATTAACGTAAAATATAACATTATTTCTTTTACGCAGCCGCTAAAATAGAATTCAATTTCATGATGCAAGTGTTATTGATTTATTAATAATTTTATCACTTCCTATTATATTCAAAGTCATTCAGGAGAATACAAGCAGCACAGGAATTTCTTTATCACAAGAACCTACAAGGATTGAACCTAAAGACACCTCTCCACAAATTATAAACGGTGAAGACTTGTGTAAATATATTCCTAATTTGTATCGTTTATTAGAATTATACAAAGACGATGGTTCGAATGGTTTTGATATGTTCTTTACATGATTTGCGAATTTAAATTTTAAATAAATTATTAAAAAAGATTACTCATCAAAAGTATATACATAATTTTTTAGACGATAAAATAATTATCTCCAAGCATTTTCTAAAGAAACTATGCGATGATATGGTTCCATTAAGTTTTAAGTCTATTTCTGAAATCAATTATATAAAATTGAACACAACTTCTGTTCGCTTAATTGGATGTTATGAAATCGTCATTTAATTTCAAAACTCTTACGGTGATATTGTTAACGGAAAGTATGTAATGGAGCAAGAAATAAGCAATCTTATAATTTTATGGACATTGTGTGGATTAACATGTCACCAATGTAGTCTAAAATGTGTTAAAAATCGTGATCACGAAGAAGATCATGATTGTTTAACGGATCATAAGTGCAATTTTATTTGTCATTTTACTGATGGCCACAACAAAATAATGATATGTAGTCATGAAGCCGGACATGAAGACAAGCATGTTTGTAGTGAAATAAGTCATTCGAATGGTTCGTGTGGTCAATTATGTAATCTTGTCGATAAGCGAAATTGCCTGAGAGTTTGTTTGAAAGAAATTGGACATAATGGTGAACATTTATGCCAGTCTTCACGTCATTATTGTGGGAAAACTTGCTCATTATCAATAATGACTCAGAAAGGAGAATATCGTTGTCTTAATAAATGCATTATGCCATATGAAGTAGAACATGATTTACACCATTGTGAAAATGAGACGTGTCCGATTCAATGTCCAATTTCGGATTGTCAGCGAAAATGTCAAAGCAATGAACATTTTCACGCTTATTCTAATTCGCAAGTGGATCATTTTGGTGGGTACGTATTAATATAATGTTGTTATTTGCATTCTTTGATAATTCATTAAATTATTTATGATTTACAGAAATGAACATCAATGTCGGGAATTATGCGAAGATGATGGAATATGCAAGGTAAAAGTCGAACCCAAGAAACAAGAGGAGTTTTATAAAGGATTACTAAGGTTAGATTTATACATATTTATGTGATAAAATAGGTTTATTAACTTTAGGACTTTAATTTATTGTCATAATAGTATATTCAATTAAGTGAAAGATTGAGTTGTGACAAAAGAATTCCTCCAAATGACTTTAAACATACTGGAAAGAATTCACATGGAGACGAATATAGTTTTCATTTTGTGATGTAAAATGTCAATTCTGCGAATATTTTGTATGTATCGTAAAAAAAAATACTTTGTATACTTTGTTTCTTTTATATAAATGTACTGAAAACAATATTTAAAATAGTGCACATTACCCTATGGACTCACAAAAACATAACACAACTCATGGAAATATGATACGAACTGAGTTTACTAGTGAAAATAAAGAGCTTAAATACGCAGGATATTGTATAAAAATTATAAACTTATTAATAATAATTATACTATTATTAAGATATTTTTTAATTAGGCATAAAGTTGGCGTTCAAGGAGAAGACGTTCTTTGTAACCTGGTATGGATAATTTTTTATTTATATTATTTTGCGATTTTAATTTTAACCAAATTCTGTCATTAGTTTTGTAAAGATTTAGGAAGACACCGTCATATTAGTTATTGTCAAAGTCAAGACATTTGTCAAGGACAAGATATTCAGCATATTAATGGTAATTTAAACTTGTATTTTAAACGTAAATGTATTTTTTACTTAATAATTTAATAAATCGTAGAACAAGTGCAACCTAATCCTAGTAAACCATTTCTCACAAATTGTTCTGGGAACGAATAGGGTTTAAAGGTAATAAATTTTAAATAATTTTGTTATACTTTATCTATACAAATATTTATTTTTCAATTTTAGATCCTTATTCTGCTCAAGAACAACAAGAATTTACAAAATGTGATCATGAATGTCCCAACAAAAAGCATCACAAATCTAAGAGATCTGCAAGCAGATCGTTAACTATCTTTCATGCTCAACTTGATCCAAATTCAAATCCTCGAAATGATATTGGATATATTTCCAAAGACGGACATCACTTTAATTGTGAGAATCTAAGTCCATGTGCCGCTTTTCATGTTATATTTGTCCTGGATCGATCACAAGACCAATTCAAGACCATTTAATTTACAATATTCGTCCCGGGATCCTAACGGTCATAATAGGCTTAGCGCAGTCTATCACGCGGTATGATTAAAAGTTGTAGTAATTTCTTTGTAAGACCTAGTTTTTATTTAAACTTTTAATATTAGGTGTATCAATTTATGAATGCACGTATGAATTTTGTTCAAACAAATCAACATCAAGTCATATCTTATTTAATCACGAGGTCTGATTTTACATTCGTTATTATTTAGATCTAATAATTTTTAATATAAACAATGTACTAATTATTAAATAATTAAAGGTTATCGTTCCGTTTGAATATCAAGATCTAAAAGATCCGAAGAACTTGTTAGATAAAATGATTGAACACCAACCTTGTGGTTTAAAGAATTTCGAACTCGCAATTCAGAAAGCTGGATCTTTGATTTCATCTCATTATGACTCCACAAGGTATTATTAGTTTTGAACCAAAAAAAATACGTTATCACATCCTTAAAATTTTTCACTTTTTTAGAACAAATATTATTATCTTCTTATCTGATGGAGAATGTGATACTCCAAAAAGGCAACTTCATGATATTTGTAAAGAAAATCAAACCAGAGGGTAATCATTTTTGAATTCATGCATTGTTACGTAATTAATTTGAATCCTAATTTTTATTTGGAAACTTTCAGATCTCCATTATATTTCTATACAGTATTATTTAGCAGCGTATCAAATAATTTTTCTTTAAAAGAAATGACAACGATCGCACAATCTTATCACACCAAAAGTACATCATCTAGTAGCCTACGCTGTCAATTTACTCATTCCACCGATAAAGTCCATTTAGTTAAATATTTTACTAGTGTGGCAAAAAGTTTAATATGAAGTGGCTTGGTTAAAGAAGAATCCTGTTTTAATTCATAAATCTTCTTTACTTGACCATTCTTTTTTTTTTTATATTATTTACTTTATCTTTATATTTTAAATTAAATAAATTTACTCGAGTTGAGTGATTACGTGACTGATCAAATATTTTTAGAAAAAATATAAGATGTGAAAATTGTAAAAAAAGTATGACATTTCATTACAGACGTACATTGAGTAGTCTAAAGCAAAATCAATAAAAAAAAAAAAAATAAATAATTTTAATCTTCCAAATCTCATAAAAATGAATAATAAGAACTTTTTATTATAAAAAATATTATAATGAATATTTCAGTAATTGAAAGCATTGGGTCATTTTCATTAAAACCGACAGTAAATCACATGATATAATGTTGGGATCGAAATGAATCCAAATCCGATCTTGGGATCAATCCTATAAAAACGTGAGTCATTGACATCAGTGCAAACATATTTTGCTTCTATGCTTTATGAAAGCACCATATGACGAAATGGCATTGTAACCATATACCATTTTGAGAATGACTGGATTATTGGCTAGTTTAGATGTCCCTCCTCCGTCTTGGTTTTCGGACTATCTTTGACTCTGCATAGAACTTCCCCAACGAAAAAAATAAAAACAAAACATTTAGAGTTTTTAACTTGTATATAAATTATTCAAAATTGGATAGACGAACAGAAAATTTCAAATGTCATGACCGTTAACTTTCCTTTTTAACGTTTATATCTATGAATTTTTATTTTAGAAAGTAATATTAATTTTTATTGCAAGTTTATTATTAAAAGTCTTTCTGTTTTGTAATTTAAGAATATTGAATCCTTTAAAGTCATTATAGAACGTATTTAGTATTTAACCGACCATACCATACCATAAAATTTAACTCGGATAGGAATTAAAAATTTGTCGAGAGGTAGAGAAATTATATTGTAAAATAAAAATCTTAATTCTGGCCGAAAATTGAACCAGATCAAAATTTATGTAGCTTAATATTCGAAGTTTAGTAAACTCTACTTGTTAGTCATTCCTATATTTTTAAAAATTATGTAATAGTATTTTAATTTTTTTATTATCCGTTATCATAAAAAACGTTTATTATTATCTTTTTTTTTTTGTAGTAAATTTATAATTTTTTCTTAAAATTCTATTATTTTTGTCATATTTAACTTTTGCATGTCAGAAGTGAAGGTACTTAAGTTCTCCTTTATCGTTAATTGGCTTATTTCTCATTCTTGTCAATTATTTCAGTTATCTCATCGAGGATTGCTTGTTCGTAAAAATGGTTAAATTATTTCATAGGGATTGTAAATGGGCCAAGATCAAACATACACTAAATTTTTTTAAAAGGAGTTTAAACCATTATATATGTTATATACAGTATGACACAAGATTTATAATTCTGGAAAATATCAAATGTTGAAGTTCATTCCAAATTTATATCAAATAGCTCATTGAAAATTATTTTGAAGATACTGTACGTTTTTCGAGAGTTAAAGAAAAGTTTTAATTGAAACATTTTTCGTTAATTTAACAAGATTTTTATTTAAAAGTATTTACAAATGTTAGAACTTTAAGAATGTAAATGCTTGCGCTTAGCCGGATATAGTTCAAACTAGAACCGTTTCTCCTGAACACCACGTAGAGGT